GATATATAAGCAACCTAGCTCAGGTTAACCTTATAAGTACTGGGGTGATATGATTTGCCTGACTGAAGCTCGTACAGGATGAACGGCTCGGTGCTACTGCAGGAATAACTTTTTTTTAACTCATTATTTTATTCACAATCTTACAAATTACAAATGCAGTCACTTACGTAACTTATAGTACGATACGACTACTCACATTATTTACAGTGTAACAACGGTTTATACTACTTACAAAACAGTCCAAAGCTTAATTACACCATTATTGTTAGATTCTATTATTACTACTATTACTACTAAGTGCCACTGTTACTAGTTTTACAGTATTATAATACACTATACTATAAAATACTAACACAGATATTACTACTTCTAGTATTGCAATTAGCTTAACCAATTATTGATTTCACCATATTAAGATTTGTAAGAAGCAGTGTTGAATCTGATCTTGGAAAAAGAAAAAACTGCGCAAAGATACACAAACTTAAAAGGGAATTACCTAAAACAGAAAAATACATGTAGCAAAAATTATATAAGATTGATGTCGACAAGATAACGTTTAAAAGACAGAAATATGTACCTACAAAGTCCATCGGCGTGCTTTGGCGCTTCGGCCCTCTGTCAGCCGAACGTTTTAGCTGTTCATAATTAAACCACAATGTGCAAGAATTTCTGTCTCCATACCTCTATATACCTGTCCACTGATGATTGATTTATCCACTTTAAAGCTAGCCTTTTGACCTGTCTTCTTTGCCTCTTTTAAAACCGGATAGAGCTTCTGGTGGATTTCGTCAATCTCTTTCGGAAAATCGTTAGAAATTCCAATTCTACTGCCTTTGAGGTTCTTAACAAAGGAATATGTTCCTTGTAAAAAGCTAAATGTTCCTTGTAAAAGCTAAATTTTGCAATAATCGGTCTCGGCTTGGAAGAGCGAGCCATATCCTGCCGTGTTGGAATTAGATGCACTCGCTCGAATTGAAAGCCTACAACGTCTTCTTCTGGAATATTCATCTTCTCACGCATCATGATACGAACAAGTTCCTCTGTTCTAGTATTGGATTCCCCTCGTTTATCTTCAATACCAAATATATTAAAATTTTCTCTCCTTGTGTAGGCTTCTAGTTTAATGTTACGTCGCTTTAGATTCATGACCTCTTCCTTGAGAGAGTTAAGTTTTTCATTATTGTTTTACTGCAAGCGTAAACCGTAGTGGCTTTTAGGTCTGTTATTTCCCTAACAGTGTTCTCCACCGCTTGTTTCAACTGCTTATTCTCTTCTTCTAGCTGCATCATACGTGTTTTAACAGCATCAAATTCGGCCACGACCCGTAATATTTTGTTGAGTTTGGCGTTGATCTCGGCCATTTTGGAGGTATCGCAGCAATGGCCGGCGACTGAAGCGTCTTCGTCTGTTTGGGAACCATTTTCTCGTTGTCTTTTTCGCGTATTTTTCGTATCTGTCACCGGTTTATCTTTGTCGTTAGGCATGTTAGTTTTAGCGACAGAGGGCCGGTTTAAACTTAGTAATTACATCGTTTAACTGCTCACTTAAACCAGAGCTTCAAAAACACGTCTTATCTCAATCCTGGCCCAGTCCTTCCAACTGCAACTGCGTGAACACTCGTATTTTTGGTACAATTTCGGCAATGGAGGTGCAAAAATTGACACAAAACAGTCAAATAAAGAAAAGAGATTTTGGCGAGTTTATTGTGCTACAAAAACCGGAAAGTTTTCTTTTGTAGGTTTTCTTTTTTGAGCGTAAAGAAAGCCTACGAGCACGCACCATTACCGTTGGCTTTCCTTCTCAGCGCTAGCGAAATACCTTTCCCATATCTTATCTTTGGTCAAGATC